CCTCTATCGCACTCGAGACGCGCGGCCTCCGCGGACAGACGGACTCCAGAAGCAGGCTCATCGCTCAATGACCGCATGCAGCTCTGGGTCCTGGGCCCTCCCCACGGGCGTGAGAGCCCCTGCGGGCGCCGACGCCCCCACGAGCTCCGAGGGCCCCACGCGAGACACCCGGCACGCGCAGGACGTCGCGAGCAGGCCCGCCGCCCCGCCGCTGGGCACGCCCGGGCCCAGAGCCCCGACGACATGACCTGACCAATCTTTGTTCCTAGATTCTCGATCCTCGGTCCTCGATCCTCGATCCTCCTCCTCCTCCTCCTCCTCGGTCCTCCTCTAGCCTCGATCCTCCTCGAACCTCGATCCTCGAGCCTCGAACCTAGAGGAATGGGGCTCAGAGTCGGGCGGCAAACCGGGCGGGCATGAGGGCTTTCGGCCCTCCTCCGTGCTCCGTGCTCCTCCCCTACTCTTCCTCTTCCCCTTTTCTGCTCTTCCTCCCCCTCCTCCTCCTTCTCCTCCTCTCCCTCGTCTTCCTCCTCCTCCTCCACCTACTCCTCTTCATTATCATCATTACCCTCCTGGGCCCCTTCGGAGATCAACGCGCCAGGTTCCCACGAGCAGGGGAAGGTACGCTCGTTGGCAAGGACTCCTTTTGATAATGATGGATTCAGCAAATGTCCCTGAACGAGGATACCCTTTGCGAAATGATCTTTCGGCAACTATTCATTCAGAAGTTAATACGGGTACCTTTTCGTGAGTGTTGTTAAGCCAGTATTCGCTAACAAGGCTCCTCAAAAATAGTTGTGAGGGTTCCCTGAGTAATCATTCCCTGTATTGGGCATTCACTGCGGTGTCCAGGAATGCCTCCTGGGAGAGGTTGCGGTAGTAAGGGGTTTATTAGTAAGGGTTCTTGAGTATCGGCTCGTTGGTAAGGACCCCTTAGGAAAGGAATTCTTGAGTAAAGACCCCCGTAGGTAAAATTATGTCAGCAGTACGTCATCTAGAAAAAGATCCATTGCGCGAGCACTCATTAATTATATACAGCTTAGAAAATATGCCGTTGGTAAAAAAATATGTGTTTTCCAAATCGGTTAAGGTTAAACGGCCCCCTTCGAATACGGATTCCGTCAACGAGGGTTCCTCCAACAAACACTATTTCTATCTCTTTCGAGTAAGGGTTGATGACAAAGGGCTCTTACATAACGACTCCTTAGCAATGCTTCCGTCAGTAATGAATCCTTGTGCAAGATTTGGCCAAATCACTCTTCATGCTCATCCTCTTCCTCTCTGATGGATAAGAAGCAGAAGAGAGAAAGAGAGAGAGAGAGAACAAACAAGAGAGAGAAAGAGAGAGAAGCAACAACAGCATCTATGCATAGACAAATGTGCAAGATTGCGTGGGGCTTCGCGCCATGCACGTTGGTTCTTACGGCTTGGCATGCACACGATAGGGCAATAAGATAAAACGGAACATTTAGCGATATATCGTTGTTTCCTTTTTAAGCATCGCCGTTGTGAGAATGGTGTTCGTGATCCTTCCCTCATGGTTCCTCTTCCTCTTCCTGATTCTCGCCCTACCCTTCGAATTCGTCCCCACCCTCAGCTCTGTTTGTGGAGCTAGGAGAGCCTCTTGGGGGCCTCACGAAACTTGGTACGGGCTTGTTGGGGCATTCTGGAGGCCTCCTGGGTTCCTTCTGGGGGCCTCTGAGGGACTCCCAAGGCCACCCTGCTTCCAACCTCGGTCTCCCTGAACGACTGGGTCACGAGTTGGGATGATTCGGGGGTCGTCGTGAGGCGATCGTGGGCCGTCACGGGGCGATCTTCGGGTCATCTTGGGACCATCTTGGGCTGTCTTGGGGCTCCTCGTGGGCTGCCTGGAAGCCTTCAGATGTGGGGCGATTCTCAGGCCTCCCGGGCGGTCTCGTGCGCCTGGACGACCGAAGACCAGAGCAATCCCCAGAGCATGCCAAAGCCGTAAGACAACATCGCTTTTGCGGCGGGCCGGATGCTTCTCTGGGGGTCTTCTTCGCGTCGTCTGTGCCTGCGACCGGTCTTCTTCTGTTCCGGGGGAGAAGAGAGTCGGAGAGAGTCGGAGAGGAGGAGAAGAGATGAGGAGGAGAGATGAGGAGGAGGAGGAGGAGGAGGAGGAGGAGGAGGAGGAGGAGGAAGAGGAGAGGAGGAGGCGTTCTTCTGTGTTTCTTAGGGGGTCTTCTTTGGGCCTCTGGGGCCTCCGCGGGCTCTCGCGGGGCCGTTCGGCCGTCCTGCGGACCGGCGTTGGCGCGCGCCGCCGGGGTCCAGCAGGGGCCTCTCGGGAGCCCCCCAAAAAGCACCTCCTGGGGGGGCCGCCTGCACGGGCCGAGGAGCCCGAGGGGGGTCGCGTTCCCATCCCCCCCTCTTGCCCCCATGGGAGGAGGAGGAGGAGGAGGAGGAGGAGGAGGAGGAGGAGGAGGAGGAGGAGGAGGGGGAGGGGGAGGGGGAGGGGGAGGAGGAGGCTCGCAGGGTCCCAGACTCTAGAAGTACAGTACAGTCGGGGCGTTGACCTAAGGAACGATAAATGAGGAACGGGGCCCCGTTCTCCCATACGTTGAGCTTCGATTTCCAATGGAAAACTTCAGGGAAACTGCAAACAAACTGCAGAACAATCAGGGAACGCCGAGCCCCTCTCCAACGAAAAGGGTTCCTTCTTCAGGGCCCCGACTGTAAGGGGCATCTGTGTCTAGATGTAGACAGTCAACCAGTATAGCAAGGATGCGCGGTAAGGATGCGAGGGCTTTGGGGGGCCATGTCGATGCTCTGCGAGCGGGGCGCCGCCAGAGAAAGCGGCCAAGGATAGGCCGAAGGGGAAGGATGCAAGGGTACCCTTGAGAAGGTTCCCCATCCCTACTATGCGAGTTGACTGTAGATATGGTGAGAGAGAGAGAGAGAAGAGGACAGTCTGGCGTGGAAACGTCCTCTTACCCTGGTGCTCCTCCTCCTCCTGATATTTTTCTTCCTCCTCCTCCTCATTATGCTCCTCCTCCTCCTCCTCCTTCTGCTGCTCCTCCTGCTCCTCCTCGTGCTCCTCCTTGTCCTGGTCCTCCTCCTCGTACTCCTCCTCATGATCCTCCTCCTCCTGTCCCTTCCCCCCCCCCCCCGTCGCTCGTCCCCAAAGGGGGGCGGGGGTGGGAAACAACACAGCACAAGGACAAGACAACAACAACAATCATTCTAAGACTGTTCGCCTTGACTTGCCCGTTGTCAGTCAAAACGAGTTCCCCACATCTCGATACCCGCCCTTTTTGTCTTCGATCACACCCCTTTGAGGGGATTGTTTCTCTTTGCAGGGGGCGGCGGGCTTAGACAGGCGGGCAAACCTGAACGGGCGGACAATCCGTCGTGGGCGTCCATCTTCCCGTCATTGGAATTGGTGTGGGCCCTGCAAACAAAAGGAGGGGGAGAACGAGGGAGAACGGGAGGAAGGGAGGGGGGGGGAGACGAAGGAAGAGGGAAAACGCCAGGAGAGAAGGAGCGAAGAGAGGGCAGAGAGAGAGAGAATCAACAAAACTTAGCCTGGAGAAGGACCCAACCATATGCAGCTGCGAGTACCGCACGGATATGAGACGAAGGAGGGGGCACGCAAACTAGGCCCCTCTTCTCATAGGCACCGCGCCACTGCATGGACGAGGCACAGGGCAGCGCGGGCAGGAGGCAGCGCTCCTCCAGATTCGAGCTTGACGTCGCCACAATTGACGACAGCTACAGGAGGCTCATAACCCGCTCGGATGGACGAGCGTGCCCGCGCCAAGTGTGGAACCCAAATTCCAAGAGATTCCAGAAAGCCCCCCGAAAATCATGAAACACATTGCGTAGCGGGAGCGATGAAGCACGAGCCCCGAAGAGTTCAGCGCTACTGGCACGAGCACCGGAGGGTTCAGCGCCGAGTGTATTCCGCGCACGAATGGTGTTCTGGGAACAGGAAGAACACGAAGTGGCCTACAGTTGGCTCCGGACACTGAAAATGTAACCCGGGAATGGTGGTCTGGGAACACGAAGAACACGAACTGCATGCACTCATAGAGAACAAAATTACAAGGTACGGGTGACGCACTTCATATACTGGGGACGCCCTGAGTTGGAAGCAGAAGGGTCAAACCTGATGCTCTGCCCGTGGATTTGGACCGTGAGATGGAGTGGCAGGGCCCTCAGAAGCGACTTCCACAGCCCATTCTCCACGGATTACCCCAACGGTTCCAGCCACCCGATAGCCACCCAGACGTGCCAACGCATGTGTCACCAGAGTCTCAAGCTCCCCCCGACCTTCGGTGGAGATCCCTATGGGGCCACGAAACGTGTGAGGGGTGTGCCGAAATGGGTGTTGGGGAGTGCCGAAATGGGTGGTGGGGAGGCATGCGAACCCTGCCACTGGGGCCTTCGGTGGAGCTCCCTATGGGGCCACGAAACGTGTGAGGGGTGTGCCGAAATGGGTGGTGGGGAGGCATGCGGACCCTGCCACTGGGGCCTTCGGTGGAGCTCCCTATGGGGCCACGAAACGTGTGAGGGGTGTGCCGAAATGGGTGGTGGGGAGGCATGCGAACCCTGCCACTGGGGCCTTCGGTGGAGCTCCCTATGGGGCCACGAAACGTGTGAGGGGTGTGCCGAAATGGGTGGTGGGGAGGCATGCGAACCCTGCCACTGGGGCCTTCGGTGGAGCTCCCTATGGGGCCACGAAACGTGTGAGGGGTGTGCCGAAATGGGTGGTGGGGAGGCATGCGAACCCTGCCACTGGGGCCTTCGGTGGAGCTCCCTATGGGGAAACGAAACGTGTGAGGGGTGTGCCGAAATGGGTGGTGGGGAGGCATGCGGACCCTGCCACTGGGGCCTTCGAGCTGACGAAACGTATGACGCCGAAATGGGCGTGACGATGACGATGATGATGGCGATGATAATGATGATGATGATGATGATGATGATGATGATGATGATGATGATGATGATGATGATGATGATGATGATGATGATGATGATGATGATGATACGACGACGACGACGACGACGACGAGGACGAGGATGATGATGATGATGATGATGATGATGATGATGATGATGATGACGATGGG